AAATATTTCTAATGGTGATTGAACCATGAAACTTTTTATGTAGCGCAATTATAACATAAATTAGCTGAAAATAACCCTAGAACCTAGAGGCTACTGTTCCTTTAAAAGTAAGAACTAACGTTACTAAATATATTCTCAAACTCTCACCTAATAAAAATGTTTTTACGTTGGTTAAATTTGCAAAAATCTAGACGATTTGGTAATTTCTGTTGTCTAACACTATTCCCCCAGTACCGTTCAGATACTGGCGTCTCTCTGTTTTTCACCGGCAAATTAGGGCATATAAAGAAGGTATATAAGCATGAAAAGTAAACAGAAACACTAATTGTATTTTCATACATTTTATTTTATACAAATAACACACAAATATACTACTTGATGGTGCTAGAAATTCGTGACGTAATCACTTTAACAGGCAAGATATAACAACGTGGCGTCACCTGGTGGCGATTTAAATCGTTAAACATACAAAGGAACTTATTTAGTATAAATAAATATAGAGATCAGTAACATGCAGAGGGTCGACCGCAGTACGTCAACTACTCACACATCAGTTTACTATTAATTGGTCACAACCGAAGTATACATTCGACATTGTATCCAATAATGTGTTTGTTGTGGGACCCTAATAGTCTTAATTGAATTACCTATTACTTTGATCTGATTTCTTTATATTTACTGATTACTATTATATTATTTCATTCGATGGCCAAGATTTTAGCAAGAGTACATAATAGAGATGTATGTATATATGTTATCTCTATTATGTACTCTTGATTTTAGTCATATATTGATTTTTAGTGCGAGTATATCGAGAGTATATTCTGGGGATAGGGGGATCAGTAACAGTTCAGGAACCCGAACCTAAAAAAATAGAGAAAAAACGCCTTCCAATCATCTATTTTACTTCTGTACCTTTTTTTTTTAAATTGTCCAAATTTAGCCTTTAATAGAGACGAAAATTTCCATTCAGAGCACTTAAAATGCGATCCTGGCTGAAGCTCAGCCTTGAAAACCTCTTGGGCAGTTTAAATACAGCTGTCACCCAAACCCAATCACCCTATCACCCTATCGCTGCTGGACACCCCGTCATCCTATATACCTAGATACACCACTGGTCTTCTGAAACCCAATAATTCTGTTAAACTTGTAAAATTAAAATAGAATGCCCAGTTCCATTATTCCCAGTTAACACACTGCTGCGGCATAATATCGCTTTTATCTGATAGTCAGATCCGTGTGTAATACTTTTTAGTGTAAAACACATTTGAAGTAGAGAACAGATACACATGACTCCTAGGAGGTGGACGAGGAGGAGGTGGTAGAGAAAGAAAAAGAGAAGGGAATAAAATAATGGAAGAGGTGGAAAGGAAGGGGATCTAGGAGGTGTGTGTGAAGTGGCGGATCGAAAGAGTGGTACAGAATGTGGAAGGGCATTTCGTTATAAGGTGTCCAGTTTGCGCATTTTCCCATACGCATCTATACACTCTATGTTCACGCAGGCAATCTATAGGCCAAACATCATTATTGATCTGAACTTACAGATTTAAGGTTGATACCATTTATCAACGAGTTATATGATATGAAAAAATATCTATCCCATCTATCACAGTGTTTTATTTTAACAATTATGAAGGACCCAGGCGGGTAATTATTGTCTTCGTGTATACCTAGTCTTTGACAAAGAAAACAACATTTGATTGAAATCATAATTTATCTATTAAAGTAGAAAGTAAAAGCTTCGAGTCCACTCATTAAAAAATGTTTGCCCTAATGCGTCACTCTAAGATATTTTTAAGGCGCATAATTATCTCATATGTTCATTATACGAAAAATATTGCTTCAAAACTGTAAAACCGGATTCCCTCGTCACTTAGCTAGGGCATGAAATGTCGTCCCAGATTCAGATATGCGCTGTACACTACACACACACACTTATATTCAGACAGGCGAGAATTTCGCTCATCTGTGAGTTAACACATCTGCATTGCAGGTTGCTAGGCAATAATTATGATTAGAATAGTGTCAGTTCACCCCCATGCATGCGTAATGGGCTGTCCCCATGTTTTGCCTACCCACGCGAGCATTCAGGGTTCATTACAGCAGGAGTAGATAATAGGGAAAATTCCCTATTATCTACTCCTGATTACAGTGTGCTAATACAGGGTGCTACTCAGGGTGCTAGTACAGACTGCTTTAGAAAATAATATGATTTAATGAGCGTAAACCTTGTTCAACAAACATTTGCCTTTGCAATTGAACTGTGCAACTGTAGCCTCACATCCACAATAGCAAAAGCAGTTCAGTTCTTTGTTAACAGTCAACAAATCCATGTTTAACCCTCCTATTGAGGGTCAAAAGGTTATCCGACACTTACTCTTCGCATGTCAGCGGAAAGTACATTTTATGGTCCTTTCAATAAAGCCATAAAAATGGTAGGTCACCGCTGAAATAAAAAAGTTTTTCAATCGCTCCGTTAGACCATGTCCTCAGAAAATGCCTCAAATTTGCCCTGTGCCCCATTGACCTTTGACCTGTGACCTCCAATTTTGGCACAGTGATGGATTTTCCTACCATGATGCTATACACCGACTATTACGAGCCTATAGGTCGGGCCTTTTAGATTTGTGCCGCAATTCTGCATTTCCTCCCTATACCTTAAGTTAAGGAGGGAATGTTCCCCCTTCTTATCCACCTCTTGACCTTTGACCTTTGACCCCCAGCTTCGACATCCCAACTCGTTTTTGGATTACCCCACACGTCCCGAATATCGTGACCGTACGTCGAGCCGTTTAGATTTGTACCCAACTGTTGACGCACGCACGGCCGGACGGACGCACGAACGCGCGCTCATGCGATTCTACAAGCTGCATCTGACTATGTCAGATGAGCTAAAAATACATCTAGAGCTCTTCCCCGATAAGAACTTTCTAAGATGTTTCAATAGTGTAAAATTAGGAAATATATTTCTTGTAACTTTGCGTAAAATTTTCGAATATGTTATTGATAACAATTACATCTTTAACTGCATATCACACTGTAATCTGGAAAAATAGGCTTTCGCCTCTATATGTGATCAGTGGCCAGAGTGAATTTGGAGAAGGTTATCTTGGAGAAGTTGGAACTATTAAATCGTTACACGTTTTTACATACTTTGAAATACTTCCTATGTACGTGGATGTTCGCTTATAGATTAACTGTGAGTCAATTACAATGCATGACTACGCAAAACTATTTTCGCTGTAAAACGACCTATAAGTGGTGCTTAATGTCAATCCCGAGATCGCATTCCTTACCAAATAATACTAGCCATACAGAGCCGTATATAGATTAGCTCAGAAAACAGGTCTTTGCTAATCACTTTGTTGTTACATATAACTCACATTGTATAGACAATCAGTCAGTCGCACGGCGCTCGTTGGGCTAGGCTAGTATAGATGATAGACGGCCGCATGATCATTATTACCTCTATAGTTTATTATCTACTCTTGACTAAATCTATTTACTGACCTAGTTTCATCGTCTGCTGAAGCCGAGATATAACAAAGTGGCATCACCTGGTGG